TGTGAACACACTCCTCAGCAGCATTTTATAGCCTACAGCTCAAGTTTAAATGGGTGACTGACATCTGCTGCCCCTTGTCCCATCAGGCTTTCTGCAATCTATCCTGCCTTCTGTGCCCCTCTCCTCCCCCTATCCTTTTCTGGTAGCAGGGGTAGGGGTTCCCTGTTACCACCCCATCATGATTCTTGCAGTCACCTCTGCCCATAACAGTTTTTAGAAGCTCAAATTCTGAGTCATCTTCTGTATCTACCCTCCAGGTGCTCATTTTTGGATTTGCCCATTCTTTCTGAAGGAATTAGTGGCACCTGTACTTTTGAATGTTATCAGTCTTTGTCCTGTTTTTATTAGATTTTAATGCTGCCCTCACTTATTGCTATGAAAGGAACTGGCTATAATTTTCTGACACCTCTGAGGCACCTATTTGATTACATGTATTTGGGGATGCTCTTGTGCCAATTAACCTTGGTCCCCAAGGGCATCAAAATGTTAGAGCATGTGCATCAGAGGTACAAGAGCCTCAAGTGGGACGCCTGTCAGATGCTTCCTTTAACTTTGCAGCATTATGTAGTTAAGTAGCTTTCTTTTCCTTCCTCTGTACATCTGAATGGGTATAGCATAAAGTTCAGTGCCAAATTTGGAACTCATTAGACAAAAGTCTAACATTAATTACAGGCAGCATCTACATTTATAGTTATTAAAAAAGTTAAACTCCATGCAGTTATTGTTTGTAATGTTGGTCAATTAAAATAAGGGCCTGATACAGTCCACATTGAAGCCAATTTTAAAACATTTCCATTAATTTCAACTGGAGCAGTAATGGGCATAGTAACAAAAAATGTAAAATGATAAGGTTGCAATTGCACCTAAAACTTGTTTAAAAGTACAGGATTTATTAAAAATTACCATATGTGTCTGCAAATTATAATTACAGAAAAGGCAACAAGTTATTTTTGCATTGTATAATACATTTTTATAGTCAGAACTGCTAAATGATTGGAACAAGAAAAAATATTTAAATTTTAAATTGTCACTGAATCATTCCATATTCCTCTTAACTCTGGAGGGATGTGGTATTTTGCCAGGGAGTTATCTAGATAGCTTAGTTTTTACTCTAATTATTCTTTATGGCATGAGCCCTTTTATTGAAGCCTGTGTTCTCAAGATTAAGTAAAGCAAAAATTATCCCCAAACACACCAAATCCCTGCCATCTCTTCGTGAGGGTTTTTGGGTGGTGGGTGTTTTGGTTTTGTAGAATTTTTATTCTGAAAAATAGTAGCAGTTGCACATAAGTACCAGCTTGGGAAGATTCACTCTTAACCTCCTTTGTACCCCTACTTTGATTTCCTGTTTATATGTTCTTTTTCTTGCCTGCCTTCAACTGTTGTCCATTTTCCTATTTTTAAATCCTCCAGATTCCCTTTTCTTGGTTTGATTTCTATTAATAATCTCAGCACTGACTCGGACCACTTTCTTAACCCAGGATGAAGTAAAATAAATATTTTACAATATATGCAGAATAATAGGCTTGTAGCAAGGCAAATGGTAGTGGAAAACAGTGAAGTACATTTTAAAACTGAAGATTTATAAGACCTTAGGAAACATACCCAGTGTTGTTTCTTTAAATAGCATTATTTGTGTTTAGTTTGTACTCAATACTATTGATTACATGAATTCCCACTTATTTAAATTGCATTGAATGGAATTCAGTAGTAGAATTCAGTAGTAGAATGTGCCACAGTGGCAAATTATAATAGTGTCCTGAATGCCTTTTCATTTCTCTCATTTGTTTCCTCTATATACATAGATATTTTAAATGTTAGGAAGCTGGCATCAGTTTTGTAAAATTAATATCTACAACTAAAGCAGGTTTTTCCTTTCCCTCAGTATAGGAGTCCTGAGTTCATTGCCAGGTTTTTCAGCCTTCTTTGCCTGCAGGTGTCTTCTGTCTCCCGATTCAGTTTGTGAAATCAAATCGAATGGACAAATGTTTCTTATCATTTTTTGTAAACCTGCTGCAAAGCTTTAAATTTAGAAAATTTTAAATGCTGTTTTCTTGGTTTTGTCCTGATCTTTTTCTCCATCACTTTTCCTGTCTTCTTTCCGCACCAGTCTATCCCAGTTCTGCTTTTCATTTTTTGCTTATACATAGTTAAAAGTACGCTAATAAAAATTGCTTCTGTCTGAAAATATTTGACCCACAACAGTTGTTCTTATAGCTTTTTAAATTCCTAAAATGGAAAAATTAGAAATGTTTCTACTTTTGTTTTCCCTCTGTATAGCATCCAAAATTGTTTTAACAATTTTGGATGCTAACCTCTTTCTTGAGGTAAACTAGCATTTTCCTCTTTCTTGAGGTAAACTAGCATTTTCCTACACTGTTATTGCTCTACTGTTGAATCAACATGAGAGATTTTAGGAAACTGTTTAGTTTAGGCAGGGCCTGGAGCTGTATCTTCCATTCTTGAACATATTCTTTTGTTTTCTAACTTTTCCTTCACTTGCTTTTACTTTTAATTCATCTCTTTGCTTAAGGCTTCCCCTGAGGACTTTCCACTTAGCCAGTGTCTCGGTGAGATCTTTTACTCCTTGTCCCCTGAGCAGTTAGTCTGCAGTCAGGTAGAAGACAATAGAGGTACTCCTGATAGACTAACTGAATCAAACAGCCACAGCTTGCTTCATCAGATGTATCCTCCTCTGTCTCTCTCTTACCTCTTTAGTCTTCTCTTCTCTTGGCTGTTTTGTATTTTACATCTTTCATTAACACCTTGGTGGTGCAAGTAGAGTCGTTTTTTTAACACAATCTGTTGAGTGCTCTTTTTCTTAGCTGCTCTGTCATTGCTCTTTTTCCATCCTTCCTTCCCAATTTTTAGGGTAGGGTATCTCTTCTCCTTTTTCCTCCTGATTTTGAGGGAGAAAGTCTCTCAATTCCAGCCTTCCTATTGGCATGGTATTAGGGATCTTGTCATCTGCATAGGGGGAAAGGTATCTAAGATCCTTCCTACTTCCTGCCATTGATATCCTCCATCACTTCAGCTTTCTTCCCATGGTTTTCACTTGCTCCATCCCACCATCACTGGACCTAACCACGAAGCCAAGATAACTAGAAGCTGATGGTACTTTCCAGCCTCCTCAAGCAATGTACGCATAAGTTGTAAGGAAAGAGAATACCTTTTTCTTTTTGCTCATATCAACAAGACTTGTACACATGTGTATTTTGGCACATGGAGAGTTCGGAAAAATG